CTTACGACTGCTTGGTCTTCTGACCCTGCAGCACAGGCTTCTGCGGTTTAGCCCACAGCGCCACAATACTTAAACACTGTGAGAAAGTGTAATATAAGATATTAGAACAAATGCTTGTGGAAGCTGTTAAAGGGTAGTTATGCTATAAAGTTCTTCAAAAACAGGATTTTCATTTGGAACTCAAACATGCAAGGGGCAGTTAACATCACTGTTCATAACCTTTCACAGTTCGTTAGTGAAAAAACAATCAGGTAATTTCTACATTTGTTCAGTTTTCTTTTCTCTATAGACTACTGGACACAAGGCACCTATAAATTCAGTTTAAAACCATGAAGAGATAAGTGAAAATGAATATTAATTAAAAGGTGTTGACCAGATTATTTTTAGTGTGTATTTTTCTAATAACTCAACTTTCATCCAAGATTTGAAACCATTTTATTGATGTTCCATTAACTGCCATGCTCCTAGGAAGCACAAAAAGAAAGGAAGCACAATAGAAAGCACTTCTAGTTGTAATCTCTGTCCATCATGGTATTTTCAGAAATCTAGCTATGTCTGCTGAAACCACTTAAGGATCAGAACAGCAAACACTGCCCTACCCATTCCCTTCTTTCTTGATTTTTACAACTTTACATACCAGTATTCATTATTCAGAGGCTCTCCACTCTTAACAATAGGGCAGTAGTCCCCAACCTTGGGCCTCCAGATGTTCTTGGACTTCAACTCCCAGAAAGACTGGCCAGCAGAGGTGGTGGTGAAAGCTTCTGGGAGCTGTGGTCCACGAACATCTGGAGGCTCAAGGTTGGGGACCACTGCAATAGGACATCAATTGGGGACCACTGCAATAGGACATCAACTTCAAGATCAATTAATACAATTAAGGAGTAGATCCCAGGTACTGTCACAAATCCAGATAAAAAACCACAAGCAAGTCTTTAGTACAAGATTTAAAGAGGGGAAAATCAAAATCTTTGCATAATAGCTGAACTCTGAAAAGATTCCACTGATTTGTGAAGGTTTATCATTACTTCAATTGGATAAAAGAGTTGTACCATCTCCAGCATAATAGCTGTTAATTAAAAATTTGTTCACAGAATTATCAAGTTGGGATGTTTTTTGTGCAACTTCCCGAATGTAAACATTGAGTTGTTCTGAATGACTATTACTTCATCTTTATGCAATGTAATCCTTCAAACAAAATGTTCAAAGAGCACTCCTCCAGTGCAAAGCACAGAACACAATTAATAAAATCTCTTAAGAAAGAGCTATGAACTCAGTGGATTCTATCTCATTTAGCTGCCACAAACACAGTTCTGCTTAAAATTCCTATGTACTGCTTGGTTCCTCTCCCCCCAACTCATATCAGGACATGGTTCTTTAGCTGGAATTTTCCATTCCAGAATAAATGAGAAGACTAGTAGTAGAGACAAAAAAATAATTTCAGATTGTAGCCATGAACAGCTAAAAGATGTTTTGTACTTCATCTATGTTTGCCTATTTTAAATAACAGTATTTAACCGAAACTTTAATTAGAGAGCCTATTATGAATAGAATAACTGGTTTATTGAAAGTTAGGTCTTGTTTATCTGTTCTCGGAATGACAACGTGAAAATTATTTTCCGTTCTATTTATTTACCTTGATGCAAACATACGTATTTTCTTTTCAATTTGTGTTTTTAAAAAAGAATATAAACATAGTTGTTCCTCTCTGTACCGCATATTTAGCATATAAAGTCTTGATCTACTGATTACTCTTGAGTTCACTTATGTAATCAAGTCACATAATTATAAATAAATAAATATATTTTTAAAAATCCTGTTGCCATTCTTATCTTCCACTTGCATCACATCTTGCAGCCAGCAATGACCTTTTGCCCGTTTAGGGTCTGGTGTAGTTATTTCAACTCATCCTGTTATACTCTTGCTATACTCAGGCAGGTTTCCAACTATTTTAACTCCTAACCATCACAAAGCTACAGCCCATTCTAGAAAAGTCTGTACACCTAGAGAATGAGATAATAGCTTCCTACTAGAAGCACAAACTGCATAATAGAGTTTATTTAAGTATTTCTTCTCTGATGTTCATCTCCATGGAATGGATGCACTTTGCATCCCCTTCTTTCAAAGAAGGAGTTAACAGACGCATTGATAGTGATCCTCAAGAGTCACAAGTTCACTTTTCAGATGCATGTACAGCATCACAGGTTTCCTCTATGAATAATTCCTAAAGTTTCCACTCAATACACTGCAATGATTGTGCATATTCATGGCCTACTGGCTGCCAATCTCAAAAACACAGTATTGCCACCTTGTTTGGATTATGTTTTAGCCATGCTATTCTCATTCATCTCCATGTTACCTGCACACATTTTTTCACAAATTCCATGATAATCCTGAGTTTCCATATTAGATGAGAGGTAAAGCTGTGTATTATGTATACATGCATTACATCTAACTCTAAACATCTGGGTGAGCTGATTCAGCAAGTTCATATAGACAGCTGTTATGTGCCATCAACTCATACCTTATAGCAAACTTAATTGGGCTTTCAATGTTTGTGAGATATTTGAGAAGTACTTTTAACAATGCTACCCTCCTGAGTTTTCATGGCCAAGGAAGAACTGAAACTCAGGTCTCCTGACTTGTACTCCATCACTCTATCCACGAGGCCACACTGGCTCTCCATACAGATTGGGGATGGCAAAAACTGACACTGCAGCTCTTGCTGGGCTGTAACTCCACTTAGCCCTAGTCGGCATGGCCAATGATCAGATGTGATGGGAGCAGAAACTAAGCAACAGCTGCAGAGCCACAGTTTCCCTACCCAGTTCAGATATTTTAATAAAAAACCTATTTCCAGCTTTTAATATGCAGATAATTTTCCTTAAAATTTTGCATTACTTTTGACCAATCATAAATAGCTGTGCTACATGATTATGTTCAAACACAAGTCACATTAGACAAGAACAAGGAGGGAAAGCAAGGGTTTTGGAATACTGTACTCTATGCTTATGGCTAGGGGACGTGGTGGCGCTGCGGGCTAAACCGCAGAAGCCTGTGTTGCAGGGTCAGAAGACCAAGCAGTCGTAAGATCGAATCCACGCGACGGAGTGAGTGCGCGTCACTTGTCCCAGCTCCCGCCAACCTAGCGGTTCGAAAGCATGCAAATACAAGTAGATAAATAGGGACCACTTTGGTGGGAAGGTAACAGCGTTCCGTGTCTAAGTTGCACTGGCCATGTGACCACGGAAGATTGTCTTCAGACAAAAACGCTGGCTCTATGGCTTGGAAATGGGGATGAGCACCGCCCCCTAGAGTCAAAAACGACTGGACAAAAATTGTCAAGGGGAACCTTTACCTTTATGCTTATGGCTGGACTCCGATCACAGTGTGCTGATTAATGGGCATCATGGCAGAGGAATATGGTATCTGTTGCAATCTTTAAGTTCTTCTCTACTTACATGGTAGGGGACCGTAATAAATAAATAACTGTTCAGTTCTGCATCACAATACATTACCTCTAACCTTTATGAATCACACACATTGCTCTCGGCCTCTATGAGTCCTATACATACAGAATTAAAGGTATTATAAATAGCTTTACTTATTTCATCGTTC